TGTCTGCTGTAGGAGGATTCGGTAGTAAAGGAGGTAATGTGTTAATGGGAGGAACAGGAACTAGATTTGTGGGACGAGGCAAAGGAGGTTTTGAAGAATCAAGTTGCTTCCTATAATTAGGATTTATGCTAGAGCTTCTTCCCCTGGGACGGGCAACCAGAGGAATAGCATGTTTGGGGTTGGGGTTAGAAGAACAGAGGGAAAAGGGTGGAAGAGAGATCCACACCCTTCACAAGGAGATGGTTTCCAGTCATAAACCACCTTAAGGTTCAAATCCTCCCCATCAATCTAGATCGGGATCTCATCCGACAGAGAGGAATTTTTGTTAATTTGCACGCACACCCTAGCAAAAGTGAGTCGGGTCCGTTTTGCTGTGAGAGTATCAACCGAGATGGGAACACCAATAAAGCTAGCTATCCTAGAGATACCAATAGGAGTCCACAAAGCCAGGGGAAGGTTGATAATTTTAATCCATAACGAGATAGAGACGTACTCATCCCTAACCGGCTTAAACTTCGGCGACCAATGTTGGAGGATGATTGGTTTCCCTAAAAGTAACCAAGGTCCCCCGGTCCAAATCATTTCAAGATCCTCCAGCGAAGTGAATTTTAACAGAAAAAAACCATCCGCTAAAGAAAGTAAAGACATCGAACCTTTGATGTTCCAAACCTTTTTCATCGCGGAGAGCAATCGTTCGTCATAAGGCCGAGGGCCGATCGAGTATCCCACTAAAGAGAGCGTCCATAAGCTGGAACCCTCTGAAAGATCATCCGATGAAAATGTAAGCTTCTGATTGGGAGAAACAAAGGAAATCGGAAAATCGGAAGTTGTAGAAGCTGGTGTAGAGAGATTATCTGCATATGAGCCAAGAAGAGTAGAGGGTGGCTGGCCCATGAGCGAGGAGTTGGAGAGAGGAGGTAAGTCTTGAGGAGCAAACTCCATCAGGAGGAGAAGAGGGGCCTCTTCCTCGAAGGAAAGAGACGGTGGCGGCTAGGGAACCAAAACCCTAGCAGAGCCAGAAAATATCTCCGCACAGCCTCACAAATACCATTAAATTCTAACTCAATCAATTAATGAAGCTCAAACATTTACTCTTAATCCCAATTATATCTTTGCATATAACTCATGTTTACTTGTATTACATTTTAGCTTTAAAGTTTCCTAAGAATTAAACAAAATATAATCTAATTAATCATAATCAGGCTTCGTTTGGGTCAGCATCTTTATTCTTTTATAAAATAATTTTTTTAGTATAAAATTGTTTTAAACTAAAAAATTTTGTAATGAAAAATTACTTTTAAAAACATTAAGAAAAATGGTCCAACCGAATCCTCAGTCAAATAAAACTGAATAAAAAAACTAATCAGATTAAACTATGATATTTTCATTGTCATCTAGTTGAGAATAAAACAAAAAACTACAAATTCATATGGTTCAATTTGATTAGTTCTCTCAATCTTGTTTAAAATTGTAAATACTTCATAATAAAATCTAACAAATATATGTTTATTTACGGAAAAAAATGTTAAGATATTCTAATACAATTTATATTGAAAAAATATATATATCAGGACATGCTGATAAAAAAAAAAATTAGGCCGGGATTTAAAGCTTTTAGATTTGCTTTAAGATATGTGTAATATTAATCATCTATATATTATACTAATTTTAAAGTATATTTAAAAACTTAAAAGCCAAAATATTATGATAGAATTTTCTTATATTTATATTAGGATGGCTTAAGAATTATATGCACAAAATTTTAATGTATATTATTATTCTAAAAATAAATTTAATAATTTTAAAATTTTATTTTAATAAAATTATATGAAAATATTCAGAATATATTTTTTCCTCTTTTTTAAGGAAGCTAGATAAGCTTCACTAACGCAAGAAGACAACCCAAATCATGAAAACTAGAACAAGCCAAAGTCTTTTCCAAACTTGTGAAAAGGAATTCCTAGATATAATTGCTCTTGTATCCCAAGTGCTTGGGTAGAAAAATTATCCTTATCTTCAACAAAATATAACTTGTTGATAATGGCATTTTAATGATTAGTACTCATTTGAGTAAAATAATTTTTTTGTTGGGATTATAAAAATTCATTTGTCATTTAGCTCAAATTTTGACTTGAGGTATGCATCTTAAGCCAAATAAAATGATTGAACCAGTGATTGATTTAGCTTGATTTGGTTGAATCAATGACGAATCAATTTCATAATGGCACGACTAACATTTGGCAAGATCTTACGCATCGTGATTGTTCGGGCTCAAAAGTTGAGCTCGATGATTGAGTTAAGTTCACTAGTGATTTAGTTTGATTTTGCTTTGATAAATGGCTCATGAGCTGATCTTGATGAACAAATGAGCTAAATTTGAGCCTGCCCTAATTTGACTTATTAGCTCGTAAATCGACTCGTTTAAATGATATTAATATAAAATACACTTAAAATCTGTCAAATTTTAAGTGTTTAATTAAGCATGAAGTTGTTAAAAATATTTAAAAATTATAGCTCGTTTTCTTATATCAAGTTATACATTATTGTTTCTCGTATAATTTGTCATTCTTTTTATCATTTTACCACAATAACTATTTGAATTAAAATTATTTTCTCTTTCATAATGAATGAACCGGTTCATGAGCTAATTTGAACACATAGAATTAAGCAAAATGAACTCGATTAATTAATCATGTGCAAACTCAAATCAGGGTGGCTCAAACTCAATTAGACTCATTTACGCACCTAACAAAGAGTATGCTTAGCCTTCCTTCACATTGAAATTTGCCCGATTATTTTGCCATTTGTTCCTCAAGCTTTTCATACCTATCTTGGTAAGTCCTTTATCCCTATCCACTTATCTTATTATGTAAATGAATTAATATTATTCATGCAAATAGTGAGTCATAATGACCCATTTTTATCATATTAGTTTAAGGGGCTGCAAACTATCTCATAATTATTTCTACTAATCAACATGTTAATCTGCCCTTGCCCATGTTGATCCATCTCTTAATGCCTTGCTAATTAATCAGATCGCAAAAGTGATAAACTTTCTTAGCAAGAAGACGTGAGCTACTAAAGCAATTTGATTAACTGGTGCTTAGTCAAATCACACAAACACATTAATTAATCATTAAATGTTAATTATTAGTTAATCATGGAAGATCTAGAACTCCTAATTTCTTAATTTGTGAGAAACCAGCCTGGCAATTTGACGTTGATAATTTTGAATTAGGTGGAAAATATAGGTGACCTGGCTTAAATGAGTTCAATAAATAACAATAAATTAGTGATACGTGCCACTACACCTCATCACCATATAATTGAGTATGAAATTAGCCTTCTACACCTAAGAGCCAGCATTGAATGCTTGTGCCCTTATCAAGCTTTCTTGATTGATTATTTTAGGGTTTATTTGCGACGGTTGTAATATTTTGCAAAGGTGATTGCAAAGTAGTTATATATTAAAAAAAAATTGAAAAAGTCGCTATGAATATTATGAATATATTCTTTTTTTTTAATAGAATTTTTCTTTCTAAAAGCTACCATATATATATTAATAGTGTTTCGTTTGAGACAATTTTCTTAACTTTTGTTTGGCTGCTAATTTTTCGCGGGTTTTAACAAATTTTTGTGCAGGGAAATTGTTTTTTACAACAACTTTCATTAAAGTTTTTTTTCCTCACAATAGCTTAATAATCACATTTATAAAAAGGTATAGCTGTTCCAAACGGATCTTGATTCTGACGGTAAAAAGAAGCTTCTCACTTTAAAAATTAAATTAAAAAAAAACAGCAAAAAATAAAAAAAACCAAGAAAGTGCAAATCAGTGACAAAATATAATTATATGTAAATAAACTTCAAATGAAAAAATTAAATTGAAATTAACTTTGTTTAGATGAATAAAAATATTAATGCAACATTTTTTATTTGGTTGTAATTTTTATTTTTTATTTTTGGAGAGAAGAAGCTTTTCATAATCCGAAAATAAGATAGGCGCCATATAAAAAGCTCTTGTTCAACTTTTAATAAAAGAAAAATTTTATAGTATTTTTTGCAAATTATATTTTCACGATAAGTTTAATTATAATTAATTATGCAGATAACTGCAGCTGTCCGAAACGGATAACCATCTTCTTATATATATCTTGTGTGAGGCTCTTCATCATCTTCTGCATTATCTCTTGTTTCATCCAAATAAAAATGATTGCAATGCAATCAGTTAGCCCAAATTTGTATCAAAAATTGAAATATTGCATTAAAAGATTGAGTTATGCTGCATGTCCACAGTAGAAAGTGAAGAAAAAGTGATTTTTTATGTTTTATTTGTGACAACTTTTTTATTGCTTTCTAATACAGCTATTTAGTACAAAAATTTTGGAATTAATTTTTTTTTACTAAAAAACGACTTTAAAAAGCAATAAGTAAGTTATTTCAAACAATACATTAATCTTATTTAGAGTGTGCTGAACTTTTTGTAAAAATAGTTATAAAATTATTATGAGAAAAGTAATTTTTTTAAAAGCTGTTGTAAAAGATATTTTCTAGCATAGAAATTTCTTTTAAGTAACGAGAAAATAATAGTCAAACAAAAATTATAATTTTGATCTGGAAAAATAAAATGTTAAGAAAGTTGTCTTAAAAAAATCTTACAAATTTGATGTAAAAATTTTTGCTTAGAAATAATTAAGGTCAATCAGTAAAGTATATTATATACAAATGAAATAATTTTGTTTTATAAAATAAGTTGTTCATTCTTTTATGATAAAATATTGGTCTAAATTGTTTCATATGATGTGAGAATATATTCGATATCAAAGGCTATTTTTTTAAGCCTATTAATATGATAATTGAATCAAAATATTAGGCCCAATTTATTTTTTTTCAAAGAAAAAGGCAGTTGAAAATGAAAATTAAGGAAATAAAACTCACAAAAACTAAGAACTAAAACGCACAAAATTACGTTTCTCTTTTTCCACAAACACAAAAGACACTTTTCACTTCCTCACCCCTTGGGAGGATAGCTGCCTGTTAAATTTCTTAATAAACTCTTCTACTCTTCTATTCAACTCTTCATCACTCAACATGGAATACTCATTCTCCTCCTCCCCGGAAGAGCTCACCGACGCCGCCGGTTTCTCTGCCGGAAAACTCTCCACCACCTTCTCATTCTTCAGACTTCTTGTTTCATTCTCTGAACAATTCAAACTGTCCTTTTCCTCGTTCAGCTCTGAACAATTCAAACTGTCCTTTTCCTCGTTCACATTTTCTCTACTCTCTGATTTCTCTATCACAAGACATGGAGGTCTACTATAGCTTCTATTGTGTCGAATGAACTCGTCGTAGATATCGGTGTCAACTGGAGGGGAGAAGACGCCATAGTCGACGGCGACGATGAAGATGATGGAGTTTGAGAGAAGAAACCAAAAGGCGGTGTCTTTGATGAGGTTGGTAGGGGAGATGTTGAGGAGAGAGAGGTAAAGGAGGAGGATGGAGAGGACTAATACGATAGATATGGAGGTTTTCTTCTGTGGTGATTGCTTCATGTTTTTTTGGTTAAGTAGTTTGATTATTTTGATGGAGGAATTGGAATGTTGTTTAGTAGGGGAGATTGTTGGGGTTATGAGGTGGATGGAGGCTTTGTATATAGAGGAGAGGAGAGAGGGTAAGGCCAAATGATTGATTTTGAATTTGTATAATAGTCGGAATGAGGGGATTAGATATTATTCCAATTGTTTGCTTAGTGGGCCACGTATAAGGAGTGAGGGAAGATCATGAAAAATGAAAGGTAGCTTATCTTAAATATGGTGGTTGGGTTTCAAACAATGTTAAATTGTTCGAATAATTCTTTAGATTACTACAAATATAATTTCTATTTGATCATTATTTTTTTGTTGCTTTTAAAAAATTTTGTATTATGAAGCTACTTTCTACAAGGCGCTTTTATTTGGTTCGGTTGACCGGATGCAAGAAACATCCGGGCCTAGGCAAAAAAACGCCTGTATCAAGGTGTACCGAGTTTTTTGAACTCGGTACACCTCGGTATAGGCGTTTTTTTGCCTAGGACCGGATGTTCCTCTGCATCCGGTCGGAGGACGTAATAACGGCTCTTCTACAAGAGCTTCAAAAGTTACTTTTTATATAGTAGTTTTACAAATGAATAAGAAAGTCGCCCTAAATAAAGGCTTCAATTGGGACGGCTTTCTTAGTGGTTCTTAAAGCGATTTTTTAATACAAAATTTTTAATTTTTATATTAGAAAGCCTCTTTAACAAGCAGAAAAAAAAACCGTCTCAAATGAAGCCAAAGTCTTAGGATCAGTTTAGGAAGGATATAACATTTTATATAGTTATTATAGGAAAATAATTTTGCTACTACGGTTGTAAAAAAATAATCTTTTAACCATTGAAAATTTTGAAAAAAATGAGATAACAGAAGCCAAATGAAGTTAGGTTGTCATCAGAAAAAAAAAATTCAACCGAAAAGTTATCCCAAATAAATCCTAAATTATTTTAATGAAAAAAGGAGCTTTCCGTCACAATTATTTTTAAGAAACAATGAGAAAATATTTGTCAAATGAAATTATGATTTTGTCTGTCCTAAAATGGATCTTGAGTTTTTTTTTTTTTTTTTGAGCTCATATTTCAAAATAGTTAGTCTTTCAAGTATATATATATATATATTATTGATGTAGTTGAGAAAGGCGAATTTGTGAAGCAAAACGATTTTGGATCATGAATTGTGAAACATTGAAATGATAGGGGGGATTTCAGAAGAAAATATAACATAAAAAAATGGTTTAATTTTTTATTTTCGTCCTCGTATTGTTGCTCGTATACTTTTAACAGTACTGTTTAATTTTGGAAGATAGTGAGTATAGTGAGAGAGATATTGCACTGACTGAAAACAAAATCAGAGAGTAATTCCAAACCCACCGAATCACAGAATTAAAGTAGCCACAATCATTTATTTATTTTTAATTCAATCATGATATTCTAAAATAGTTTATATAAAAAATGAGATTATTTATATCACATATATTTTGATTTTATATATCCATATTATTTTTTACTATAACTAAATTATTAAATAAGATAATGAGAGTAAGCAATTAGACAATAATTTGTATAATGTTTTTCTATAGTGATTATAATTGTGAATGTTTAATATTTAATTGTATTATCTAATAATTTTGATTATGTTAGTTTCATAATAAATTAATAATGTTATTGTGTTGAGGGATATCACCTAAAATCAAGAACATCTATAATAAAATAGCCTCATCTTAACATAAAATATATAGAGGTTTGTTTTTTATTTCTTTTCATAAAATTTTATCTCCTTCAATGGATGAAAGCCCATTACCTTTTTTTAGTTATTAGCGTGTTAGGAAATTCATGATGATAGAATATGCATTTGACATCTTTATGCCATACATTCAGCAGGCCTAGATAACTTTAAGAGACATTTTTTTTGGGGTCAAACCTAAAAGAAGGAAAAACCATAGGGCCTAACAATATTATAATCATCCATTATATAATATAAAAATCAACTTTTCTCAGATAATTAAATTGGATGTAATCATACAATTCCATTGTTTGGACTATAGAAGTTTGGTGTTCACAAATCGGCAGCTGAAGTCCAATAATGGAGTAGAATATTTGTAGTCAAGCAACAATATTTGGGACAAAAGTCAAATAATGGTGACAACGATTGTTGATGGTGGTCGTCGACGGTAATTGTCGGGGAATATGTACAATAGAGTTGTTTACCTCTCTTAGCTCTCAAAACATTCATCATATAGAAAATGGAGTTTTTATAGCCTTTTTTAAGAGGGGAACTTTAGTAAATTTGACAAAAGTTTGAAACACTTCATCGAACGGCCTTTATTTATCTATTTAATTACAAATCATTTATCCCACATTTGAGCTATTTAATGATATCAAAATAAAATAATCTTTAGCTCATTGGACTCCTCTCATCAAGCTGCTTGATTTGAATATATGCATGCAAAATTTGGAGGCCATTTGGCCCTTCAAGTAACATTTTGGAGCTTCTAAATCTATTTTAAGTACTTCATTTAGATTCATTTGAACAACTATATGATGATAATGGGTTCATTTCATTGAGGCATTCAATTTGATTATAAGCTTATTGTATTCAAAGTCCGAATAGTTATGAATTTATTTCTAGAAGTTTTCAATTCAAATATTCCCTCAATATCCATGCAGATTAATTAAATTTTCTTGATCGATTATTATTTTTGAATATCTTGCTCAAAAATCTTAAAAGAATGCACTAAGAGTTTAGAACTTTCCAAGGGATGACTCTTCAATTCTTTAATTTATTATATCAATTGGGGTTATTATCACGCCCCTACTTAACATAACTCGTATATCATAATAGGTAATATTAGGTCAAGTGTGAGAATAGAGATTTTGCCTAAGATCTAATTGGACAGAATTTCTTTTCATCATTCAAATTTACAACACATGGATAATAAATCATTAGTGAATATAATAAAATAGAATCCATATACACACATATATAAGAATGATTTACAACCAAGTCACCTATATATAATAATCATGATTTTTCAATAACTCCAACAAAATACATTAATTCTATTTTTACAAAATAACTATCTATGATAATACAAATGGTACCTCTATGTGGGAAAATAAATTTGAAAACCTACGTAGATTTGAGGTTTCTCCTATTCTTGTGATTAAATACGGTATTGAGAATAACATACTATCTCGAAAGATTGAAGAAATATTATAAAATGGATTCAAATAAAGAATAGGATTTTTTTTTTGAAAAATTATTAATTTTGTGGTTATGTACAAATAAAAAAATAGCATACTGTCTTGAAAGATAAAAATAATATTCTAGAATAGTATTGAAGGAAAAAAAAATAGATTTTTTAAAAATTAACATTTTTGTATTCTAATGCTCCAATGAGAATATCATACCACCTCGAAAGGTGAAATGATATTATACGAAGGATTTGAATACAAAAATATATATGTTTTAAGAAAGTTTCAACTTCTATAATCAAATATGACAGTGAGTATATCACATCACCTCAACAACGACATTTGAATTGAAAAATGAGGTTTAATTAAATTTGTCTACGTTCTAACAAATTTTTATCCTAACTCATGAAAATAATATAATATTTATTTTAATATGGAGTTATATGTTTATCATAAGGCAAGCCTTTTTGGCTAATTATATCTCAGGAGAAGTGAACCTCCTAAATCCTAATAATACTATTGATTAAAGTGGTGATAAATATTTTCTTAGATTTCATTGTTTAAGAAAAGGATGAGAGGTTTGGAGTTTTTAAAAAAGGATCAGTTCAATTTTGAATTGTTCTTTCTAAAATTTGAAGAATGAAGGTTAGGGAGCACATAAAATTATGGGACAACCCCAAAAGCACACTAGTCTATCATATGTTTGGGCTTTAATATTTTGGAGGGAAGATATTTTTATATTTGAGTTGATATTTTAATAGATATTTGAGATTACATTACCGGAGGATGAGGACTTATGATTTGGAATCTGCCTTAGAACTTAGATCTAAGTTGGGTACTATTAAGTAGCAACCCGAACCTATTCTAAGGAAGTACAAAAGTGTATGAATTTTTGCACTTATGCCTGGCTGGATTGGGCTGGAAACTAAACCACCTATTCTATTTAAAACAATGTTATCCAACTTAATGAGAGATGGGTGTGCTGTTATTTAAGTTTTTATAATATAAGGCTAACATTTAACAAAATCCTGATTGAACCTACAATATGAGTATATTTATGCCTCCAAACTAATGCAATTTAATTTTATTTATCTTTAATTTAATTCTAATGCAATGTATGCTAGTTGAATGTAAAATCAATATGTTTTGAAGTTTTAAAGAGGCATAAAAATAGGTTTTATCCTATGTTGCACAACTTTCCATGAGATAGAACGGCACCTTTATAGGTTACATTGTTTGTTACTACCCACAGATGGGGAGGTGCTTAACAAGGAGAGAAGAAAGAATATGTATGCATGAGACCCCAAATGAACTCTGACATACTTCTTAAAAAGCCTTATCTTTCTATATTAACTTCATCGAACGGCCTATATATATCAATTTAATTACAAATCATTTATCCAGCATTTGAGTATTTAATGATATCAAAATAAAATAATCTTTAGCTCATTGGACTCCTCTCATCAAGCTGCTTGATTTGAATATATGCATGCAAAATTTGGAGGCCATTTGGCCCTTCAAGTAACATCTTGGAGCTTCTAAATCTATTTAATTTGGAGGCCATTTGGGGTTATTATCACGCCCCTACTTAACATAACTCGTATATCATAACAGGTAATATTAGGTCAAGTGTGAGAATAGAGATTTTGCCTAAGATCTAATTGGACAGAATTTTTTTTCATCATTCAAATTTACAACACATGGATAATAAATCATTAGTGAATAATAACAAAATAGAATCCATATACACACATATATAAGAATGATTTACAACCAAGACACATATATAATAATCATGATTTTTCAGTAACTCCAACAAAATACATTAATTTC